GCCCAATATCGAAAACCCCTGATTGGCTGGATCTTTGGCATGAAAAATTCGATTGGCTGAAAGCCCAATATCGAAAACCCCTGATTGGCTGGATTTTCGGCATAAAGAGTCCGATTGTTGAAACGCCACATATCGAAAATTTCCTCAAAGCAGATGTTTTTTTTGACCCTGACACAAACACAGACGCATACAACCTTATTTTATTTCATATGACCCTCTCTACAGTCGAGGGAATAAGTAGTTAATAATTAATTAAAACTAACCTCAGATTCAAATTCTCCACCCTCGATTACTCTTTGGTCAAGTTTTATACAAAATATTAATAATTAATAATTAATTAATAATCAGTTAATAGTTAGTTAATAATTAATTAAAACAAACTTCAGATTCGAATTTTCCACCATCGATTACCCCTTGGTCAAGTTTCATACAAAATATTAATAATTAATTAATAATCAGTTAATAATTAGTTAATAATTAATTGAAACTAACCTCAGATTCAAATTCTCCACCCTCGATTACCCTTTGGTCAAGTTTTATATAAAATATTAATAATTAATAATTAATTAATAACCAGTTAATAATTAATTAATAATAAGTTAATAATTAATTAAAACTAACCTCAGATTCGAGTTCCCCACCCTCGATTACCCTTTCGTCAAGTTTTATGTAGAAGCGGATGTTTTTTTGACCCTGATGTTCTTTTGACCCTGACACAAACAAACATACACACAAACTATTTTTTTTCATATGACCCTCCTTTCAATCGAGGGAATAATCAAATAGCTATAATTACTTTTCTGACAACAAAACTTTACATGACAGAAATCGTATCTAAATAAAAGACAGGACTCGATATGAGAATGTTCTCTCTATACATATTACAAAACTAATTCTACTATTTGAAAATCAGTACTGATGACTGAAGAAGAGTCAGTATGTTAATATATTAACTTATTAAAATACTATTCTAGTGAAGGTACTCGTAGGTGAGTACTCGAAAGTACTAACGCTAGAAAATGTCACGAGAACTCATGAGTATTTATTAGTTTTGAGTATTCATCAGTGGTACTCGTGCTAGAATCTGACGTGAGTATATGAGTACCATAATTGAGACCTCATCGTGTACTATGGAGTGTTTTTTTTTGAATACTGCTATCCAGTTTTTGTGTACTTTTGCTGATCTATGTAAAATATTCATAAGCATATATTTTACTAGCACTGTTATACTTCATTAATTTTTATTTAATATTAAATTATTAACAAAAAAAAATACAGATGCACATGAATTAATCTTAAAGAAATACTCAAAATGCGGACTAGAAGTTTCCTATTAGCTGCATACATTTTGATACAAAGATTTTTAGACTAAAAATCTTCACCGCTCGCATAAAGATTTTGATATTTTCGGTACTCATATACAATAAAAATATGATTTTATATATTATTTTCTTTTTTTTGTGATAATATACAAAAGAGAATAAAAAAATAAAACAATATCTCGGTAGTAAATACATCCGCCTTCATGTTTTAAAATCACGATCAATTTATTATAGACGTCGTTAGTCACATCTCACATTTTATCAAAGATATTACATTTTAACAGAAAACTTTTTTATATAAATTTAAGAAATAAATTAAAAACAAATCTAAATTGGCGTATTCAAAAAATTCAATCTCACTTCAATCAATAAATGAAAATGAAAAATCGTTTTCCTTTTTCTTTCTGGAAATCGCTGTTTATTCTATTTATGTAAATGACTTATCAAAAATGAATAAAGAAACAATTGAAGAAATCAACAAAAGAAATTTCAGATATTTTTTATTTTATTATATGATTTTTTTTTGTAATCACATTATTTTATTTTATTTTTCTATTTCGTAGTGCACAAGTAGTTTGTTAAGTATTTTACGAAAAAACGACAACGAGTATCAAACTGAGTACTGATACATCTTCCCGTGAGAAACTCTCTAAAGAAGAACTCGTACTAGTACTCGTCACAGTAACCGACGACGAGTATGCATACACATCAAATTCCTCGAATGTGAACTGTTTATCTGTTCATGAAATGAAGAAATTTTTTTCGATATTATCAAACTATAACAAACTAATCGATCATCTTACCGTGCCGAAAACATTCCTTTACTATATGTTCGACGAAGAAACCTGAACGTTGATCATTAGCAAGTTCAACTTTTGTCCAAAGTTCAATAAGCTTATCTATTTGTTTGATAATGTCGTTGAACAAATATGTATTATGAACAAAACATTCCGTCCAGTGATAAAGTAATTCATCATAATGCATCCAATCAGGATTAGATTGACATAGAAAATGCTTAAACCATTCAATAAAATAATCTGTTGTTCGATCTTCTCGACGGCTGATTGTGCGTAAAATATATTGTTGACGATCTATATGTGGCAATAGAAATGGATTGAAATATCGGAAAATTATAGCATAAATCGAAGGAATTTCATCAATCGAAATATGAAAATTTTTTTCATTCAAATAAACTTCAAAGCTTTGTTTCATTTTAAGATTAGATTCACATATCAATTGAATCTTTTGAGTCGCAGATTCCCTAACTCTATTATTTGTTTCATTTATTTCAGTTTTGCCTAAGTTCAATATGAATATAATATCATGAAGTTGAACTAAAATAAAATCGAGAAAATAACTTGATGGACTATTTTATTTTCCTACTTCGAAAATGTTTTTCTTCAAGAAGTTTATCAAGTTGATTAGTTATATGTGTATGTAATTGATTTTCATCGTCTTGATATGATTCAAGAATTTTTATGAGGTAGACGACATATGTTGAAAGAGAACTAGTTACTTCAAGATGCTGCAAACAAAGTTTATCTGGACCAATTATAGTAAAAAGAATATCATCTTGATTTGGTATCAAAGTACATGTTAAACTATTGAGTAGGTCAACTAATTGAAAAATCAGTTCTTGCCGTCGTGTTCCGTCAGGAATTATCATCAATGAATCCAGTGAAAAATTCATTTCATTTTCAGATTCCTCATAATATATCCTAATACAAACTAACGTTGCTAGACCATGACAAAAAGATTTCCATTCAGAATCAACAACTTCTATCCAGACATCTAGAAGTTTGTCTAAAAAAACTTTCAGAACATTCGATATGAATGACTGAGTTGCTTTGCTTGGTATAATCATATTGTTTCGATTGATGGGCACGCAAGCCATCATACGAATAAGAATTTTTAATGTATGCATATCCTGTTGAACAATATTTTCAATTGATGAATAATAATTGAGACAAGTCTCAAAGAATTCTTTAAAATCTTCATTAGACATATTTCGTTTTTCTTCGTTTATAATAGTTGTAAATTGTTCTATTAGTGAATTGAACATACCATAAGACTGATTATTAATAAAGAAGTACGTAAATAAACACAAATGATTCCAGAATGGTATATCGGTTCCTGAAAAGAAAATATTCAGTTTTATTCCGAGATTGATCATATATAGAATGTTTTCATACCAGGAGCTCGTGATACATAATAACTATTTTCAAAATGAATGTCGAATAGAAATTGATGTGATACTAATGAGTCAGCTATGAAAAAACGAATTCTTTTGTCTGGATACCAGCGTGAACCAAAAAATGGCAACGAATCAAATATTTGAAGTCGATAAGTACTAATCAAATAAAGTTTTCTATTATGTTTGACATAAATGTCTCGTTTGTCATTCACGTGTATCCGCATTGGGAGACGGTATAAAAGCGGAATGTGTTTATTTTTCGATGTTTTCGTCTAAATAAAAAATAGACATGATTGTTAAATATGTTCATGTTTATACTTTAGTGAGAATTGAAATCATTCAAATGAACTCTTTTCTAACATTGATTCGTATCTTGTCAAAATTCGAGAGTTTCACTTAGGACAAAAGTTTCATCTCATATATATAAGAAACTATGAATTCGAAATCAGTTTTCGAACAGCTGCTTATGTCAAGTAGACTTTCGATACAATAATGTGCTAAACTTGTGATAATCTCAGTACAGGGATAATCATTGTCCGCAAGTTCATTTGCATATTCAAGTACAGAGAAAGGTCTAAAATGCTGCAGTTGTTTTTTTTTTCTAAGAAAACACTCTTTTCTCAGTCAAATGTTTCTATACAAGATTTCTCGAAATTTTTTCTTTCTCACAATCCTGTATGTTAGTTTTTAAATAAAATATCTCATAGTATTTGTTGGTTGCGGAGTATAGTGGTAGAGATGCATCATCAACCCCATTGCTATGAATCAACTCGGTTGCTTTTGAGAAAAATAATATTTTTGTCATTCAAATTTTCCTATTAGCGATCATACTCAGAATCGATCATTATGAATTTCATTTTATTCAGGAGCCTATTTATAAAGTCAAATGAACTCACTGAATTAGTCGTGGGACGAAAGACAGTTGTACCAGCAGTGAAAGTGCGTTTCATATTATTGTCAAAAATAACTTGAATTTTCCATTTTTCAGTGGGATCGGCATAACGCAAAGCATATAATGTTATGGGAGATAGAGTGACGGAATCATTTAAAGCTATAGCGATACGTGGTGTTGACAAATCATCATCGTATAAAATTTCGTCGTCAGTCTCCTCATCAACGGTCACCGTCGTTGTAGCCATAGTATTTAATAGAAATCTAGCTGAAAAAGCAAGTCTGATATCAAACTGCTTTGTTGGTAATAATGATAATAATCATCATATGACACTCTTGCGTGATATGATATATTCAGAGTGAAAGGCATGATAAGATATGCTCTTGTTGAAACAGAGGAAGGAATAACGTAGATAATGTCAGCAGCAGATTCGTGTATTTTTGAGTGTGGGTATGGGTATGGATGTGGGTGTAGTGTGTGAGTGTAAGTGTGGGTGTGGGTGTGGGTGTGGGTGTGGGTGTGAGTGGATGTAGGTTTGGGTGGGTGAGGGTGTGGTGTGGACGGATGTGGGTTTGGGTGGGTGTGGGTGTGGCGTAGGTGAATGTGGGTTTGAGGGTGTGGGTGTTGGTGTGGGTGTGTGGGTGTTGGTGTGGGTGTGAGTGTGGCTATCATTCTCTTCCTAACACCTACACCTCACACCATTGGGTGTGGCGTAGGTGAATGTGGGTTTGAGGGTGTGGGTGTGGGTGTGTGGGTGTTGGTGTGGGTGTGGGTGTGGGTGTGTGGGTGTTGGTGTGGGTGTGGGTGTGGGTGTGTGGGTGTGGGTGTGGGTGTGGGTGTGTGGGTGTTGGTGTGGGTGTGGGTGTGTGGGTGTTGGTGTGGGTGTGGGTGTGGGTGTGAGTGTGGCTATCATTCTCTTCCTAACACCTACACCTCACACCATTAAATAATGTGTTGCCTGAGCTTTTTTACTTCACCGACGTTTTTTTACTGATCTTGGAAAACAATGTATAGCAGATGCATTGCATGTTCAATGTTTACATAAATGACACAGATTACATACAGAAAACATGAAAAATAAACAAGAAAGCATTCTATCACATAACTTTTTTATCCCAACAGCGAAATATTGGCAAAGCATCAACGAAAAAAAGAGGTTGAGCACGTATCCTTTGTTTCCAAATGCGACATGAGAAGAAAAAAAAGGAATTGTGAAGTTTCTTTTCTCAAAAGAGAAAGAAAAATGGTAAACACTACTCTGAAAAAACTAAGGTACCTTATGGAACCAAAAATGATTTCGTCCTCGCTATGAAAACTTTCTGAAGGTTTTGATTTCATTGCAAAAATGGTTTAGTATGGTACCCTTTTTTCAGAGCACAGTCCCACTTGAGTCAGAACGAATCAGATCACAAAAAAAAATAGTTGATCTTGAGTGGGGTAGAGTCACAAAAATTTGACCCATGTCGGACACTAGCTTACATATAAATAGCTCATTATAAGATTGATGAGAAAAAATGAGTAAACGCGTTGTTATCAATGAAACGTTGCTCTAAATTATAGATATTCCAGACAATATGTTTTGAGATAGATGACATGAGAAAAAACAAAAATCAATGATCTTTAATTATTTTCTGTTTGTTTCTTGCGATGGCTTAGAATTTTGAGTCTTTCTGTTAGAATCGAACCATTCCATCTGGATATGAATGTATGACGATTCACAAGTCGAGTTTAACATAAAGAAAGCAAGTCATAAGAAACTACGTGAGTTTATTCATCATTTTATGCGAAATCAATACCTGAACAGAATGAATAAATGGCAAGCGTTATTCTTCAAAAATGCACAACAACTGAAATCAAAATCTAACTGTTTCTGCGGCCTAGACTTGCAATAGTTGGTGCTGTTTCGGAGATCAACTCTCTCAAATGAAACATCGTGACTGTCTCGTTATTAATTGCATCGTATGAATTTCATGGTGGTTGGATAAAATTTCTTTTTGCTGTTTCTTTTTTTGTCATGCTTCAATACCAATGATATGTTCGTCACAAACGCAATCTTGAAGAAATCGATGTAACTATCGATCATATGTTTTTTTTTCTTGCGTTCTTTCATGAGTCTTTACGTTTCTTTCTACTCTTATTGTTTATTTGATCATAGATACATGAAATCTAGCTATTGGTATTCGTCATTCGATAAACGCAAGCGTCGAATAGAGGAGACTGAAACGAAGATAGAAGTAAAAAAGAATGTATACTATTAAATATATATATATATGCTTGTCACATGATTACTTTTTTTACATTTGTTTGCTTTCTTGTGATGGTAGTCGTTGCCTATATAACACAAAACCAAACAACGATAACGGTGAGTGAAGAAGTTTAACTTTACTATCATGAATTTCCTCATCGAGCAAGCAAGTCAAGTTAAATATATAAATGATCCTACTGTTTAAAATTAGAAATCAATGTTGAATTAAACATTTATTCTTTTTTACGCTATTTATTTTAGATTTTTATTTACTTTATGGTATTGGAAACCACAATTATTCAGAAACATTAATACATATAATAGACAAATAAGTTATTGATCAAACTTAGAATTAAAATGTTTTATTTTTCGATATAGATCGTGATAAACACTTGGACACTGTACCCGTTGAAACCAGTCATGCATCGTGATTAATCCAGCTAAACTTTATATATAGACTGAAAGTGACTTCATTGGGTTTGCATTGAAAACTTTTCTTATGTCAACACATTCACTAAATCTATTTAGAAAAACAGTTATATTTTTATACGATTTTCGATTATTTGTTAAACGTCATCTCACAATCTCCATTCTTTAAAAGAATATCGATTCTGTCTGAATTATCTTCATTTGAAATAGTTTTGCTCCATTGTGTGTCGTATACAACATTTTCTAGAATTTTATTGTAGTAAGTTTTCGGCGCAAACGGTATGAATGGAGTTGAGGCATTTAATTATGTATCTATATGGTTTTTTTGTAGGACTGATGAGCGAGGAACAGATTAAACTATTTATGTTCTTTTCAGATTTCTTTGTAACTGAAAATGTAATGGTTCCTTCATTCTAGAATTCATTTTGGCTTTTTTTAAAATTCTTAGTCGTCAATTAGTGGAAGAAAATGGGTCAATATTTCTCTAAAATTAATGAAGAAGTTCTTGTTTTGATGAATCAACATGATATGGATTTCACTTTTGATTCTGTTATATCTGCAAGTGATCCAGACGATATTCTTTTATCATTATATTTAAAAAACTCTTGTCGCACAAATGATTCGATTAATAACTCTGACAAAAGATTCGTACAACAAATTCAAAATTATTTATCAAAATTAACTCATTCAAATGCATTGAACGACATTGATTCGAAAATTCGTGAGATACTTGTGGAAAATTTACGTAATCCTTTGATTGAATATTTGGGCGAGGCAATGAAAGACGTAGAAACTATTTGGAATCTGCAAAACAAATTACAAGAATCCTTGTTAAACAATATGACAAACAGTTCAACTGTTGATCAATCAATATTTGTACATCGATCGATTGATTCTTCATCACAGGAGATTAAGCATCCAAATTCTGCGAACGCAAATGATAAAAATGAACAGTCCAATATTGCCAAACAAAATCCACAAATACAAGTTCAGCAAATATCTTATTTCGCCATTCAATCGTTATTATCAATTCTTATTCTATTGATTCAGTCAATTGCTAAGAATGATCCGACTTTCGAGCACCAAATATTAACATTGACAAATCAATTGTGTGAACAAATGCCTTTCAAATACTTATCGTCGCCGATATTTATGATGTCAAGCAGCAATTTCGTGTTAAAATCATTGAAACCATTGACGAATTATATCAATGAATTATCTTTATCAAATGATCCGACAACAGCAAAACAAGCTTTGCAATGTTTATTAAGTTTTGCTGTAGCTAAAGGATCATTTAAAGACATTTTAAATGTTTTAAGCAAATTCATATTCAATACAAACGATATTTATTATGTACAAGGTCTATGCATACAATTGAATGATGGTCTTTCAGAAATCTTGGCTAAATGTGAAATGGCAAAACAGGTATTAGCTGAGAAAGGTAAATATGTTAGATCAGACATCAACAAAGGTTGCAAATCGACTTCATATCTCTGATACGAAAAAAAAAAGGTCATTGTGCTTGGCTTGACGCACAAAGCAAAATCTGAGTATGCTAATGCTGAAAATTATACCAAAAAGAATGTTAGTTTTCTATGTTAGTAAAGTGTAGATAGAACTTTTATTTATGAGTAGAACAAATCCATTGTGTTTCATATGTTAATTTCTTAGGCATTACTCTGAAAAGTTTTTTCATATGAAAAATACTAAAGTTTAATAAACTATTTAGATGAAGCAATATCAATTGGATTGGATTATTTGAAATCCATTGGAGCATATCCGAATACACAATTGTTAACCATCGACAAGAAACTATTTACTGGACAATTTATTTCTTCAATTATTTTAGCACATATTGATTTTGATAATGAAAATTATTCTATGGAACAATTCAACAATGGTTCTGTAAATAGTTCCTTCTCATTTGATTTTCATCCAGATACATTCAAACAATTGTTTCAAATTATTGAACAATTAACTGTCAAAACGAAATTAGAAAGTAATCCGACAACTAAATTTATACTCACCGTTTGTGTAAGATTATTCACTACACATTTGAAATTTTACCATTCATTAAAATCTAATATAAATAAAGATTTATTTTCGACCAATGATAAATGGAGTCAATCTACCTTATGGAATCGTTTCCAATCATCATCAAATGATGTCAATTTAACAATATTTGCTACGGAGATTGATGTACAACAATGGTTTGAATTATTCTTTACAATGGCTTCTAATGATGATGATAATCAATTCCAATCCTCCGTACTATGTAAAGAAGCAACTCAAGCTCTAATTTATCTTCTCGACAAAACAACATCATCATTTATTGAGAAATTGTCATTTATACATCGACATATTTTTGAAAATAAACATCATGAATTAGTTAAACAATTGTGGCTTGAATTGAATAGAAAAGTTACTCTATTATCTTGGATCGAAGTTCTTTGCGATGAAAAAGAACATCAAATGGATAAAAGTACAGCTTTTACCATTTTACATTCATTTATTCATGCGTATCTATATCCATCGAATGATTTTGAAAAAGAACAAAGATTAAAAATACAAGAACTATTATTATCATTTCAGAAACTTTTATTATCTCGAATCATCTTACAATCTTGTCAAATAGATGATATTCCATTCTTAAAATTAAATAAAGAATTAGACGAACACATCTCGAATTCGATTGTTACTACTACAACAGGTATCTCTTCTTTGATGGTCCATTATATTAATTGTATAGTAGTTCATCATATCAAAACAAACGAACTTTCTAATGATTTCATGGATCCGATTTTACTCACTTTATGTTTTTTGGTCAACACTACAGAAAAAATTAATTTTGCATTAGTTCAACCGATCTGCACTGCTTTTCTACCACAATTGGCTGATTATATTTTGCAAAATCATCTTGATGAAGCAAAGGCAAATACTCATCTTCATTCTCTGTCATGGCTCATAGGTCGCATGAGTCAATGTTTGATTGTTGGTTCATCACGAAACTCATTGGAAAAGAAACATGTCGATCAATTGAATACAATTCTGTTTATGAATGGATGTGAACAAATTTTCAATAACAAAACTCCATATTTATTAGATTTGCTTCAATCAAATTTGGCTCTTTACAATCAGTTTACATTCGATGACTATCAACAATATTCATCATTAGATAATGAATTTCTCATGTCTGTTTATACAAATACTGGCCAAGGTGCACAATTGATAGACAAAATGCGACTTCATGTTAAAGACAAATATCGTTTACTACAAAAATCCATCGAAAAATTAGCCGACGACGCTTGTGCTGCTCTATTTGCTGTCTACATAAAACATTATCGACGTGTCAATTTAGCTAAATTCGAAATATCTCGAACAGACAATCAGATACCGCACAATAAACTTTTGTCTATTTTTGAATATGCAAATCATGTTCAAACATTATTTGTCAAAATCAAAGGACAAGGTGGTGATTGTAATGAATTATGTAATCATATTAAAACTAATGCACTTTTTCTATTATTAACTGTCAAAGAAAATCATTTAATTCCAATTATTGATGAAGATCTATCATCATCACTAGTAAATCTTTCATTGACAGATAATGTACAACAAAAACAAGCACCGAAATTCATGCGACAAAATTCACGATGGACAAAAGCAAAACATGTTTTCAGAATACTTCGAAGTACATTACGAGTTTGTATTCGATTGAAAAGATTGATAAGATTGAAAAAAGAACTCAACAAACAAAAACAAGATTATGAAAGTATTCTACATCAATTGATCGATACCTATGTCTATGGAGATATTTCCAAAACTTTAACATTAACAAACATTAAAGAAAAGAAATTTATATCTGAAGATCTTGTTCAATGTATGTCTCAACAATATGAAAGAGCTATGACAAGATTGATTACCTATCAATTTATTGAAACATTTCTTCGAAAACTTCTCGATATTCAAGATGAAAATCGAATTTATACTATTCTTACTATCTATTTACCACATTTGAGACAAGTTGATATACATTGGTCATATTTGAATAATATCGAAGCATCGAATAATATATTAAAAGAAAAAATCGGTCATAGTTATTATGCATCGATTAAAAATATTCTATCCTATTCATTACAATCAACAAATTCAAAAAGAACAATCTTAACTGTACTGGTATTTAATCTACTAAATATATCCTATCAATCAGTCGACATTTATCATTTACATCGTTATCAATTTATGGAAACATTTTTTACATCGTTGATTAGTTTTGTGAAAAAATCTGATAATTTCGCTGAATTGAAAATGAAATTCATTGCATATAATTGGTTTCAATTATTTGTTTTACGATTATGTGAAAATATTCAAATTGAAGAAATCAATGGTACAAGAAGTCCATTATTACAAGAACAACGAGATTTTATTTTCAATAAGTTGTTGTTTAATGAATTAAAACAGTTGAGAGAAATTTTTGAAACAACTACAGAAAATGAAACACATGATTCTACGATAGAAAAAAATGACACATTGAATCATATTGCTTTCAATTGGTTCCTAACGAAGAATAATACATTAAACATATCGAATTTTCTATCGTCAAAATCGGACATTGAACTCTGTATGAATCAATGGATGGTACTTCTACTTCGATGTATTCATATCTATCCACATGTTCGATCTATTTGTACGACAATCAATTATATGGAAGAATTCTTGTCCATTTATCATCAAAGTCAACGTGTCAGTAGTATTTTACTTGTATTGAAAATATTACGCTATTTAATTTCATTTTGTTCAGAAACGACAAGTGGAATAACATATGAATGGATAAAAACTATTTTAACAGAAATTTTCAATTCAATTAGTAAAAATTCTAGAGTACAACAAATCAAACCAGATATTATTACTGAGTTAATTCAGTTCTATCGAACGATTATGTCATTGAAATCTGCTTGGCAATCGATGGCTACACATCTTCTTATCAATAGTATGTCATCAAATTTTAACGACTTGAAATCATTTAATACTGTTGATAAAAATCAAATGAATGATATTATAACGTCGTTATGTATACTTGGTGGCTATATTCAACCGTATGGTTTAGGTTCAATTGTGAAAACATATCTCGAAGATGAAAATCTTAATGGTTTATATTTAGCATTAATCACAGAAATGAAGATTGATGTTCGAGATTTGAGCACCTTGGAAACATTGCCTTATTTTATTCAATATTATCAATTAGACAAGACTGAATGGATTACGGCTGATAAATTAAAACTTGAAATTGATGTACCACCACCGAATCTGTTCTTGTTACCTCAAGCCGATAAAATGATTCATTTCATCCTCGATAGATTAGGATCTTACATACAAATGGACACATCTAAAACTAGTTCCATACCTTTATTACAAATGAAACGTCGTTGTCTTGGTGCTTTGTATCAGTTACTAAACGATCGAAAACTTGTTGAAATATTTATGCACAAACCCTATGCGTCTCTTTTGACACAATTAGTTATCTCTAATATGTCACGAAAAAATCGACTGGCATTTCTTGATCTACGAGAATTCAATAAAGAACATTTAGAACAATATTGTTTAAGTTTAAATAATTGCACATATTTGAAACCAATTGTGGACAATGATAATGAAAAAGAGATTGTTGCTGATGATATCAAGCAAAATTTTGTCACTGATACTTCATCGTTTACTATTTGGAATAATGACTTAATTTATCGTGATCCACAGATAGTTGATACGTTATCGTTTAGTTCATTGAAATACAATGGATGGAAAGTGAAAGCATCAGAAGCAGAAATCGAACTGTATAAACAAGGTCGAATAGGAAACGATCAGATTATTCTTGTTCCTATGCCACGAAATATTGCTGATACACAAGTTTTCGAAGAATGCGGCAATAAACATCGATTTCGAGGACGCATCGATACAAGTCGTGATAGTAAACATAATAGTTTTGTGACTTTTATTCTTGATAATTTGCAAGTAAACAAAGGTAAATGGTATTTTTGTGTGAAGTTGCCACTCGGTGGACTGGTTCAAATAGGGTGGGCAACGGCTGGATTCTCACCAGTATCCAATAGTGGTCAAGGAATAGGTGATGATCCTTGTTCGTGGTCGTACGATGGCTCGCGTCATATTCTCTTTCATAATGGTAGCTATGAGTATCCAAATGAGGATATTCGTTGGACAGAAAACGATGTTTGTGGTTGTGGAATCGAAATAGATGATGGAAATACGCGAATTAAATATTGGTTGAATGGGAAATTCTTAGGTACAGCTTTTGCACAACAGTCTTATCTTGAATCGGCAACAGTGAAATGTGATATGAAGCCTAATGGATTGAATACTACCTATTTTCCTGGAGTCTCTTTGCAATCGTCTAGCTATTCTTCGAATTGTTGTGAATTTATATTTAGTCCAGAAGACATGACAGAATGTCCATTACCCGATGGCTACAAACCATTATTGTTACCAGAATTAATCAATACTGAAAATTCGATTGTTGCTTATCCTTATAGTGCTTATTTAATCGGAGATAATATTCAAAATTATTTTCACACATCTCGACTAAGTAGTTCAATTACTCGTTTACATGACTTTGTCAATGAACATCATCTAGAAACATCATTCACTCTAGATGATCATTATCTAATGTTGCCTGATACTAGTAGCGGTTTTCCAATGTCTATTGACAATTTAACATCATCATTAACAATTAGCTTTGATTTTAAACTTATCACATCAACTGATAATAGTTCGAACAACAATACTAACATTCAATTATTTACATTAAGTACGACAAAAATATTTTCAGTAGAAATACCAAGATTAAGTGAAATGAGCGACGAGACACGAATAGCAATTGTATTTCATCCAAAAGAACAACAAACAAAACTCTATATGAACAACAAATGTCGAATATTCTACGGAGAATTTGATCATGACAATACATTGAAATTGATTTTACATCTTTTACCCAATACTGGCGCTGGAATTCGAAATCTCGCCGTATGGAAATATGCTTTATCAGATGAAGATATTTGTCGCCTATTCACGTATGGCTTATTCTATGTAGCTATCAATTATCAACAATTGAAAGAATATCGAAGACAAGTAAATATGTACACATTTACAAAAAATCAGCGAGAATTTACTGATGAATTACTTCTACCATTTAATGGACCATTCGAAGAGAACGTGTGGAAAACAAAAAAAATTCAGGCTGATCAAGATGAATCGACATATTTTAAATCAATCGATGATATTGATCGATCCGTTGTCCAATGCTTTGGAAATAAAACTTATCTCATTCTAGACATATCCACTACACAATACTCTGAATTGACACTGATATTCGATATATTCATACCGAATTTTCCGAAGAATAACGAACAATTAACACTAGCGATATTGAGTCCGCAACTAAGCATTTGTATAGCACATGATGGCTATGTGTTTCTGTCATCTTGCAATCAAATCTTGAAGATGAGCACATCGGCATTGCTTCTGAATGAATATATACGTTTTGTTGTATCTATTACGAACAACTATGGGAAGATCTATATGAATGGTTCATTAATACTTGAAGATAATACATTTACAACGAAAGCCAATCCAATCTATCTGTTTAGAGAAAACGATTTGACGAAAAATACAACAAACGAAGATACATTGCGAATCGAATGTAAATTAATTAGTTTTCTTAAACAAGTTGTTCCAATAGATGATCGACTGAAATCATCGGAATTTTCATTAGAATCATTAATTGCACCACCTCTATCACTTATTCTACCAACTTTAAGTGCCATTGGATACAAAGCAACATGGATCGAAATGGCCATTAAATCATTGAAAACATTCAATATTCAAGAGATTGATACATTCATTCGTGAACAAAAAGAACAATTCATCCAAATGGATTTAAAAAATCGACGTGATCATTATTTGAATATTTTGTCAAAAGTAGCTCCGTCAATCGATCAAACAAAATTAGAAAATTTCGTCAAGTACATTAAACTTGAAAATGATAGTGAACTATTAGAAGCAGCAGAATTGATATTTGTCAATTGGAATCATTTAAAAAGATCCACAACTTCAAATGAAAATGAATCAACAGATAATAAATGGTTTCATCAAACTGTACGTAGTTTATGTAATCAAAATAGTCTTATCGAATGGCTTGACAACAAATCGATGAGCAATGAAGACGATGATCTCATTAATCAACTTTTGAATTTGAATCAACCTATATTAGAAGAATCAATTGCAACTACATCTGTTAAAAGCTCACATAAGAAAATACAAAAATCAATTCAATATTCACATCAACAAATTTCATACAAGCAATATTTGGATTCACGAATAGCTTGTGAATATGGATTGATCTCGATCTATGCCAGAGAGACTATTTTCAATCTTCTCAAAACCTGGTCGAATAATGGTCAAAGTTTATTTCAATTAGATAAACTTGCTGATCATCAATTAATTCTTACTTTACTAATATTGATGGATTACCATTATAGTTCTGCTAGTGACCAGACAAATGAGAATATTAATATAGTGAGTGTCATAGCCAAGTCCATTATTAAAACTGAAATCGATGCATTACAAAAGCACATTGGAGCAGTCAGTCAAATGGATAGCAATTTATTTCAAAGCAAAGCTCCTTTGATGAATCTATTGCAAAAGAATCTCATCGGTCAACTGATTCTTTTTCTATCAACTCCATCGTTACTATCGAAGAATTCTCATGAGCAAACAATCAATATCGACGAACAAACCATAATGAAAGAGCCAAATCTGAGTTTTATTCTTAAAATGATTAATGTATTATCTGAATTAATAACGGATAAAACAGTAATAAATCAACATGAAATTGATTTGATTCTTCCATTCATATTTTCGGAAATGTTAATCAATTTGCTTTTTGATCTGTTTCTCTTAAGTCCGACGTTTCGAACACAATTCTTCGTTCTTCATTTATTCACTACGTAAGTAAAAACTAAAATCGATTCGATAAACTCACTTCTAACAGTACATAGTACGATACTTCTAGTTTTGTGAGGAAGGTTGATAATTCTTTATTCATATGGGATTCTCTTCCTAGTTGATTAATTATTTTAATTTAACATAGTATCTTTAATTTAATTTTTATTATTTATGTTCATTATATTGATGGAAAGAAAATAGGAAACAATTTCATGATTCTGACATAAGAAAACGAGAGTATTCGTTCAGCAACAGTCAATGACACTATTTTTATTAAAATAGAAAAAATTCTTGCTAGAATATCATGAACATAAAAATCTGTTGCAGATCTAAAGAAAATTTTTTAACTTGCTCCAATATTTTCTTCATCTTTTTTTGTTTTAGTTTGATTCGAGCCAGTGGAAACTTTCAGTTAAACGAACAAATATTTGATTTTCTCTCTCATTTACTTATCGAACTGTCGAATAATAAAATATCAATAAAGAAGTTTCAAATCATTGTCATGGATGTATTTTATGCACAATGGATTCGACAGAAGAATGAATGCGCGATCAACACCTTCAACAATCGACTTGAAGAAACATTGGCTGCTTGTCCAGAAAATGTTCGTAATCTTTTGACATTGATCGATATTATCGATGCGTTGATTGATAAAAATAAACGGAAATCACTACCTGAAGCATTTTTGAAACAATCAAATGATCTTCTCGATGATAACAACAACATCACTGCTGATGATTTCGAAAAATCCAACAACTATTTTGATTCAATCGCTGATCAAGAAATAATTCGTTACATGAATAATGATTCAAAACTTGATTCATCATTCAATGATTTTATTAACAATCTACCTACAGAGTCCGAACCAAATCCAACATTTTACAAAATCTATCCATCATTGGCAACTATTTCAGCTAATTTTATAAAGATTCGTGTCAAATGCATCTATCTGTTGAATATGATATTTGAAAGAGTTCAACCTATCATTGACTTAAGTTTTGCACCAGGAGAAAGTATTCTAGTAGATGAACTTGGAAATGTTAGAGCCTATCTATTATACAGGAAAAAATTTGCATTATTCGAAGAATCTCTGCAAAAGACTAGTGCTGGATATCTTGATAGAGTTACAGTTAAGTTCGATACAGTGAAAGCCAGTACGAACAGTGCAAATGGAGAAAATACTATGTTTTATCAAGCCTATGAACAATTACATAAAGATGCTCATAGTTTATTTCGAAGTGAAAGTGAACGTTTATGGGAAGCTTCCTACGTTGAAATGCACAGTGTTGATGCAGGTGGACCTTATCGTGATTCAATCACGTGTATATGTTTGGATATTTGTAGTACACGACTACCACTATTCATTTTATGTCCTAATGGACGAACTAATACTGGTTTAAATCGTGATTGTTGGATTCCAAATGTATTTTCACCATATGAATCGATTCCAAATAAATTTAAAAACCAATATCAATTCGTTGGACAGTTGATGGGCATGGCTATGCGAAAGAAACATTTTTTAGATTTGAAATTTCCCATTTTATTATGGAAACAATTGATCAGAGAACAAGTAACCATTAAAGATATTGAAGCGATTGATCTACAAAGTTTTAAAATTATCGAAGAAGTCGAAAGAAATTTCCTAGAAAATGAAGTTATCGATACAGATATTGACATCGAATATTTATTTAGTAGTATTATGAGTGAACTTCGTTTTGATGTTGTTAGTTCAGCGGGACAAACTTATGAACTTGTTCCTGGTGGCAAAGAAATTCCAATCACAGCATCAAATTTTAAAGATTATTGTACAAAGTATCGTGAATATCGTCTCAATGAATTTCATCGTCAGATTGAATTCATATGTCAAGGATTTTACAGTGTTGTACCATTTTATTATTTGAGTCTATTTACAGCTGATGAACTTGAAGAAGCTGTATGTGGAAAAGGTCTCATTGATGTTGAACTATTAAAAAGAAACACCTTCTATGGCGAACCGTACAATCAAGATTCACCACACATTCTGCGATTTTGGACAGTACTCAATGAAATGTTCAATGAAGAACAAAAGAAATCGTTTATTGCTTTTGTATGGGGACGAAGTACATTACCACGTTGTGATCAAGATTTTACATCTCATTTTTGCATTAATCCATATTATGCATCGTCTAATGAAGTGGACAAACAGCTTCCGCGTAAGTATTGTCTAATACAAGCAAAAGTGAAGTCAACACACTCATATATATTCTGTAGTTGATAGTTTCATTTAATCTTGTTCTCAAAAAGAAAGGATGTTATATCTAAGTTTTGTTTTCAACGTACTTGAAAGGGAAAATTTCAAAAAAAAAACAATCAGTTAAATTTTCAAATCTCATAAAGAGACTAATTTAGTTGTTTGACTAGACCAACTTTTTGTAATGGAAAATGTTCTCACAACTATGCGAATCCCCTCGTCAATTTCTAACTCAAACAAGGTTTGGTCATTTTATTTTTCACGATTGCAGATAAATTGCCCAAATTTTCAATCACATTTTCGATGAAAATAGAAAAGTTCCAAAACGACATTCAACAAGAGACAACAAAGCTACTCTATTTTTAATAATAAACCAATCAGAGCTTATTCAATTTCATTTTACTTCTTTTCAGGATCACATACATGTGGTTTCTCTCTTGATTTACCAGAGTATTCAACAACTGAAATTATGTACGAACGTTTGAACTATGCTATCACATATTGTTCAAGCATTGATGGCGATTGAGCACATCTGTCGGCTATTGCTTGAATTTGTAACCTACGTTCAAGTGATTTATGTTTAAAAAAACAAAAATCTTACTTTCGAACATAACTCTTTTCTCAATTAAACAAAGTTTAACTCTTGTCATTTACTAACACTTTTTTATTCTAATTGATTTATGTAGTTTTAACATTAGACTTGAAATATTTTAATCATCTAAAAAAAAAGATCTATTCTTTTCGAATTTGACCTACTCGATAATAACATTAGATCGTAATCGTTGTATTTCGGATATGAATGTCTGTTTGAGTGTTGGTATTTTCTTCGTTCAAACGTACATCCTTCTTTCTGCCATAAATGATGGCTTTCAAATTGATATAATTCACCTTTAAGAATTCTTTGAATATATTTATTTCTCTCTTGTCTTGCACTAATTCATGATGCTTACTGTCCAATTTATTTGCATATATGTGGCTTGAGCTTTAAGATAGAAAGTAAGCAATATATCACCATATTACTTCCTTGATAGTACTTCAATACTTCCTATTAGAGATCATGTTTCTCGATTTATTAACTCAATTAATGCATGCTTATTACAGATAAGTCAGAAGATAAATAGAAAGCTCGATGTAAAACTCGAGTTTTTGGCATTCTCTCTTCTTTTTTTCACTTTTTTCTTGTTCATTGAGATGCATTCGATATTTCTTGTTTAGATATACTCTAGATAAGTATGTTTTGCTTTTTTCGAATTATACGGATGATGATATTAATCCTTGGTGGTCGGAAAGCCGATATATAGGCAATAATTCTGGATTGATTCGTAAATTAGTTGTGTATGTTTCTCATAACATTATTATCATCTGTCTCCTACCATAGCTTATGATTATATTTTGTTAAAAATAAAATTTCATGTGTCACAGAGAAATTTTACTTGAATGTTATATGACAGTCGATTCAAAATTTCAATCCACCATTGGCCTTGGTCAAGATAAAATTTTCCTAAAGTTTTCACAAGAATCTTAGATTGAATGTATTGTAACTGATCAATTCAAAAATGTCCTAAATTAATACCCGTCGAATATCGAAACTCATATTTTACACTAAAATACATATGATGAAATAAAATACTCTATTGCGCATTCGTAATTCCGAACAAAAAACTACATGTATAATATATTTGAAAAGTAAAATCAAAATACAAGACTACAATATACACACACACACACAATAACAAATAAAAGATAAGTATAGCATGAAAAAACTAAAATTAAGTTTAATGAAAAATTTATTTACGAGCAATAGTTTGAACTTCTTTTTCTATCATACGAGAAAAATGAATACGACCTATAGTAAAAGCACTTAAACTTAGAGTCAATATAGTAAATAGATGACCTGCTTGATACAAATTAGCTGAATAGCCATTATATAATAAATAACGTGAACCTTCAGCCATACCAGCAAGCATAAATAAACAAGCAAAAAATAATAATATAGATGGAATTATATTAATCCATGTTGATAATGGAATAAATGCCAGAACTAATGTCGTCATTGTACCAAAAACAAGAAAGAGAATACCAACAATACATAAGCCAGCTGCATTTTGTATACGCAAATAATAATCAGTCATCCATGGATATGATGATAAATATCTTGGATAATTCATAAGATTAACTGTACGACTTGTACAATCCTCGTATGAACCATTGGTAAAATGGCAAGTATAGAAAAAATTTGCCGTACTCGATAAAGAATATGATGGAACACTTGTTTTTGTATATGATAATTCCCAATTTGGTGTACTAATGCCAACACAAGTAAATACTAAAGCTATAACTCCAAAAGTAACTGCAACAAGAGATAGTTTTTGACTAAGATTATCTATTTTCTCATTTGCCATACTGTATCTTCAAAGAGGAAAAAATAATTCTTCTATTAAATATATGTATATAGACTAATTTTTTTTTCTTATCTACTTCTCTATTTAATAATAATACTAATTCAATATTATATTCTATATGTTACTTCGAAACAAAAAAATAGACAGATTGTGTTAATACTGCTTCGAATGCTCAATCGTTATTCTTACATGTTGTTCATCTATTGACATTCTTATTAAATGAGTCTGTTCAAATGTTTCAAATCAAAAGTAATAGAAAAAGAAAATTACTTTTTTTTTTTTTATAAATCTTGTGCCTTTTGATAGAATACAGATATTCATCAATATAATTTCTTAGATAGTAAAAGAACAAAAAAAAACGACATGTCATAGAAGAACTTTTACATTTCACAGATGAACGAGTGATCGACGAATTGCCATGTTAGTTGAATATGAATTCAATTTTATTTGACTATTACAAATAACAAAGCATGTTGTGTACATTGCACACCTGTCAACCGAACACTTTTTATCGATCAACAGATCCAAATCAGCCGATTAATGTTTCTGATTGTTTGATTACGTTTTATTCTATAACTCGATATTGATGCATCATTCTAGTTTTAGTAGTTTGTAATTATACCTCTGATAGTTCATCTTCGAAAGCTTCCGATAGCAGAATAAAGGTTTGTTTTTTTTTTGATACCTTCAAGTATCATTCCCAAAACAGAATAAAATGGTTCGAATTAGAGAATTTCACAGCTTGGTATCAATTAATTCGAAGCTAGATCAATAACTTTGACTGAGCCTGATTTGTTAACTAGGTTGAATACTATATAGACTAATCAGACGAGACTTGTAGCTCTGTTATATTTATATTAGTTTATATTGATTGGCTTCTAACAACATAATATCTTTTTCATCTAAATAATTGCTTTAGTGTTGGGAACAAGAATATTAACACTAAGAAATTGTTTCTTTTTAAACCTGTGAACATTTAAAACATGTTTCCTTTTTCACTTTATATATGCTAATATAGTATAATCATTTTACGATCAGATCGGAATGAAGCAGCATGAATCATTTTTTTCATCCCATAACGGTTAAATCAACCTCTCGATTAGTCATGTCTACCTCTGAATCATTTTCAGACATTATGTAAGACTCCTGTTTTACTATTATAGTGCTTTTGTGAAGCATGATTGTCAATAGATGTTAAAATATATGGTGAGAAAATCGAAGCCATCTTCTCCTTGCTTATTTCAAAAATTGCGACAAACATTCTAATATTCTTTTTACTAACTGACACACTCTGAGATGTTCTACAATGATTAAATTAATTAGCTCCATTGTGTTTAATAATTTAATCTTGTAGAGTAAGCGATGAAAGTTTTTTCTTCATTATCTATTTTCATAAGTTTTCTCTCTTTTGACATCTACAGATGGATATAAAATTTTATATTAGTATTGTATCCTAATTAAATATGTTTGTCAGATATCGGTAGATATACATTGTTATCTCTTATACCTCTACCAAAAATTAATTAAACTTCATATTGGACAGTGAATTTATAAAATATATTAAACATGTTTTGATGAATATTGACCTAATAAAGATATTCTAATACGTGTTCTTTCATGTAAACAGATATTAACATCAGTAAAAATGGTCCGATTCATGGCAAAAATCCTATAATCAACTCAAAAAAACGAAAACAATGTGCAATATCTCGAAAAAATCTATGTGAGCCATTAAGAAATTCTAAGCCGGACCGATCGTTTATCAATTACAACTCTTTTCAATATTTTCAATCAATCTCAATCTCTCGTGGTAACTACATATCAATAATTTTTTATGAACACTTACAAAATATATTTCTGATAACTTAAAATTTAAGTCAATCTGATATATATTCGTAAAATAAAATAAAAAACAATGATATTATTTATTATATTTTATTAATAATCATCATTGAAATGAAATCTTTTATTATGTGTTGTTATACAAAAAGTGTCATTGAATTTTACAAACAAAGAAAAAAAAAAAGAATTATTTTCTTGATTAAATTAAAAGGAAATAGTTTTAGAAAAAAAGAAAACATTGTAAAATACAATAATAAATCGCTGATTAATAAAAAGTTTCAGAATATTCATTTTTTTTTTTTGTTAAATATTCATCATTTCGAGAACAAAAAAAAAGTATTAAATTTCAGCGAAAATATAATAATACGTTCATTTCTTTTATATGAAGAATAAGCGAACAAATACAAAGATTAATAATGAAATCACACTAAATCGTATTTGATCACCACCTAAAGTTACGAAAAATAATCATAAAAACAGTTAAAATTATAAAAACTATCATTACCATTAACACAACGTATAATTTTTCGTCCGAATGCATCAGAACCTTCTTCTTCTCTTGCACCTGTTCTACATCGACAACGACTCTTAAGACATTCACCACGATTACCACAATCTTCATGATTTACACAACGACCATTAACAGATCGAGCTAAAAATATAAATATTCATAAGATAAAATAATCAATCTTTTTTTATCTTATTCAAATAACATACCACAGATTCTATCACCATCAGTTTCATAATAACCAGTATTACAAACACATTTATTGTCATCTGTATAACATAAAGAATTTGGACTAAATTGAATACATTGATCTGGTGAATATGCACAATAATCATTAAAACTGATTTTCACTAAAATTAATAAATCATGTTTGTTTTTTAAATTAGAAGAAAACAAAAAAAAAAGAAATTTATAAAATATACCGCATTGTAAACCAGTATCACGATAACCAGAAGCACATTCAGCTCGTTCACAAGTTGGAGAACAGATAAGTTCATTATTGACAGATGTTACTGCATTCCAAATTGTTACATTACATCTCTGATGAAGTGTTAATACTGTAGTAATAGGTACTATTTTAAAATGAGAAAGAAAATAAACAATTAATACAACGTAAACCAATATAGATATGTCAATGTAGATTTCAATTAATCGAAGTCAGAATTGAACGAGTATTGGTTTCTTTTTAAAGAAGGCTATCGAATTATGAAAACTAATAATTTAGAAGATTTTATTAAAAAAAAAAGTTTTTAACCTTTGTATAGATAGGATATTATTCTTCTACTAACAATGACTAATGAGGGAACATCGTCAACTGTCCAATCGCTTTTTAAATAAAACCTACTGGGTTATAGGTTATCGACTATGCTGATTCTGAATATGGGTACGAGAATTTCCCTTAGGCCTTTATAGGGTGGTTTTCTAGAAAATCAGATCTCCAGAAAACTAACTTAAAACCAAATTTTTGTTTTTGATCTGCTCAGATTATAGAGCACATCAAGTTGTCTATTAATCGATATTTTCTTTTGTTTCAAATAGATTTTCTGATGAAATACAGTCAATTGAATTCATATAGCAGATGCATATTACTAGCATTTCACTGTACAAATAGGAAAGTTTATTGTTGTTTATTCAAGACTATCCTTGCAAAACAGCAAAAAACTATTGATTTATAGACAACTCAATCTGCTCTATAATCTGAGCAGGTCAAAAACAAAAACTTGGTTTAAAGTTAGTTTTCTGGAGATCTGATTTTCTAGAAAACCACCCTATAAAGGCCTAAGAGGATTTCTCGTGCCCATATTCGGAATCAGCATAGTCGATAACCTCGAACCCAGTAAGTTTTATTTAAAAAGCGATTGGACAGTTGGCGATGTTCCCTCGTAAGAAAATTATTGTAAATATGAATCAAGATAGTTCAATATTTAAGTTTATATAAAAATAATTAATCCTCTGTTGGTCTTTTTCAAATCGAAGAAAACTTTGTTAGTGTAAAATTTGCACGTATGTCAATAATATTTAAATAATAAATTACATATACATACATCGTAGCATTCCGATAAAGTGAGTAGAGGACATTCTTTTTTTTTGAATAACTCTTTCATTGCGATTCATACATATATAATTTTTGTCTAATCATACTAGATTTTTATTTCATTATGATGAATTATTTGAAGATAGATTCAGATTTTATGAATGTTTAGACTTAACATGAATAGAAGGATTTTTTTTTAAAAGAAACTATTCTAATTCTTTAGAAATAAAAACAATAATTTTTTAATGTTAGTATATATGAATCACAAAAATGATAAACTACCTTGGATAAGTTTTTTTTTTCTTTCGAAATGTTATAATTATCGTCAGATCATTTTAAAAATTTTCACAAAGTTTAATTCTCAATGAAACTAATTCATTGTGAAAATATTAGATTTTCTACTAGATTCATACCTTTTCATATCAACACTGAAAACTTTATTCATATATTTCTTTGAAATGATATTAAAAAAAGAAAAACTAGAAAATCTAATACGTTCACAATAATATAATTTCATTGAGAACTTCTTATGTGCAAAGACTCATGCATATGATTTTTTTTTGTAGGCTTTTTTTCAAGTTTTAAATGAAATCTACTTCATTAAATAAGACTTATCTCAAAAACAAAAAAAAGTATAATCTATCCTACTTACCACACTGTCCAGAAGAATCTCGATAGTGTCCAACTTGACAAACACATTTGTAATTGATACAATCTTCCGTATTTGAACATTCTGGATAACATTGACTTTTAACTATATACATTAAAGAATATAATTTAAAAAGAAAAAAAACGAATAAATATTTTTTTTTTTTGTTATACCGCATCTTGAATCAATTGGATTAAAATAATAGTCTGGTTTACATTTGCATACTCTATAATTATCCGTAATGTTATTTATAAAGCCACATTCAATTCCATTTTGATCTGAATCGATACCACAATCTTCTTGAATATTACATGTTCTTGAATAACGTTCATGTTGACCAGGAAATATAAATTGTGAGAAAAGTTCTAAAATAATTTCAAATATTATATTTGTATATTAAGAAGAAAAAGAAAAATATTTATTCAAATTTTACCACAACGATCATCAGAAACAAAACTTAGATGTCGATTACAATAACAAGTATTATTACGACAAACAGCACCAATACCATGTAAACCTTCACAATCATTATCATTATATCTTGTATCACATGATGTTGTAAAAGTGTTTAGATCTATTGTTTGAAGATTTGAAGAAAAGACTGCTTTTCGTACTAAATTTAATGAAATATTTTAATAAAATAATTCATATTAATTAAAATTAGATACGAACCACATCCTCGTTTCGATTCAATTGGTTCATATCCTGATGGACATTGACAAATTGTACCATTTTGCTGTAAATATCAAAAGAAATAAAATTTTCATGTATTTATTAAAATATTTACTATAGAAGATATTGGACAATGTTGTTGGGCGGCTGCTTCTGCTTGATTTGTTTCAACAAGAAAATCTAAAAAAACAAAAAATAGAAAATCATTATATTAAGAAAGATTTATTCATATTTAAAACATACAACATCTATTGTTATCCCAAAAGGCAATACTTGGATCTCGACATCTACAATAAGTATTATTCTGTGCTACTTCTGCAGCATTTCCAAATAATGCTCGACAATGTTGAACTGTTAGTCCTGCGATATTGATAACATTTATAGCATCATATTCGTAAACACGATCTGTAATTCGTACTAAAAAGAAATAATGAAAAAAAAAAAAAAACAATATTTTTTCTTTGAATTGGTATCAGTGATTTATCTACTGGGTGGGCGTCGCCCACCCGAAATTTTGACTCGCTCACTCGGAAAACGAAATCTAGATAAAACACTGATTGATATATCATTGTTTTGTTTTATTTTGATAAAATTCTCTTTTGAATTAAATAAAAAATATATTTTTTTTTTTATCAAAGTTCTATTAATATTCTTTTATCTCAAAATGAAACTAAAAGATTTTCATTCAACCTATTTAGTTTTTTATTAACAAATATTGATTTTAGATTAATAAATTTGTTTGAGAAAAGATTATTTTTTTTTTATTAAACATTTATCAATAATATTTGAATTCAGTTTTAACTTTTATAACTGAATATTTATGAAGTAAAGAATATAAGTTCATTATTAAGAACATCGGAAATCTTACAATAATACTAAAGATAAATGTAGAAGTAAAGAAAAAAAAAATCAAAATCACTAAATTGTATTGCTAAGTGTCAGTTTAATAATCTATTAAAGCATTTTCAATTGAATGCATATAGTATTATGTAAGTATCTAAATAACTAATTAGTAAACAATATAGAACGAAACACATTTTATAGTAATACATTTGATGCCGTGCTTATGATATAATGTTAGGAGGATAATTTTACAAATTGTCTATTGAAAATTATCTTTGCATATGAATATTCAAATTCATCAATAATAAAAATTGAAAAACAAAATTCTTTATTTTTTTTGATTAGAAAAAAATAAAATATTTTACTTACCACAAGTACGATTATCACCAGCATTTTTGTAACCTGATATACACATGCATCCTTGACCACTAGGATCTGGAATAGCAAGCGGTGGACAGTATAAATTGGTACCATCTGTAGGAAGTGGAGTGTACGATAAATAGAAAACTATAAATATTAAATACAAAGACATTAAAAAATCATGAATAATGAAATATTTTTTTTGTATAGTATACCGCAAGTTGGACCAGAGATAAATGTACCATTCTCACACATGCATGCATTGTTAAAAGCTCTAACAGGTCCATTGAGGTACAATGCTTTGCAATCTGATGTCAATACATCAGTATAAATACTTGATGGTGGATTAGCTATTGATTCATACAATTGAGTAGATACTCGTGCTATAGATAAACAATTTTTTAATATATTCTGTGAAAAGACAATCATATATGATCTTACCACAAGTACGATTGCCATCAGCAGCAGCTCGATATCCAAGATTACATTGACATTGGTTATTTCTTCTTTCGGCATTTGATGGACAGTGACCGCCGGTAGTAGGATCAATAGTATAGAGATATGTTACTAAAATAAAAGATTATTTATATACTGAATAAATTATCATTCGAATATAGAGATTAGACTAAGTTCGTATTTTTGCAAAATTTAAATCAATAAGAATATTACGAATATTGAATTCAAAAGAATCGAAGATGGGCAGAAAAGACAAAAAAAAACATAAAATATTTTAAAATTCTCTCCCGTTAATTATTTAATTCATATACTTTATTAGAAAATTGTCAAATCTTTACGATTTTTAACTAAAAATCAATGAAGACTAGAGTTGATTTGAACTTTTGCATTGTTTCAATCTTCGAAAAAAAAAACTTTCTTAATCATTAATAATTAAGAAAAATATTTAAATCTCTTTATTATTGAATAGCTAATTGAATACTGTCTATTTTTAGTTATTATATACTTTCTTTATCTAGACTAAAGAACATAAATAGTTTAGTCTATATCCTATTGGTCTTAAATATTGAAAATCTATGAACATTTTGTTGCTATGTATAATCCTTTTTTCTTCTCGAACATATTTAACATACCACATCTGCCATTGCTGTAGTATGAACGACCAGGTACACATCGACATTCTCCTGTTGTACAAAATTTTGTATGGGTACCAAATAATGTCTCACAGGTACTATCAAATGGTGAATTATTAGTACATCGTGCATCAAAGTCTTCAATAGCTAATCTAATTTCTAAATATAACAAAATAAATATTGAAAAATAAATCTGAATTTTCATTCTATACCGCATCGTTTCTTATCGCTAGACACTGTATATTGACCATCCGGTGAACACCGACATTGTGTACCATTAGGCATTGAATTCGGTGGGCATCCCGAAGTAATCAAAGACGTCAAATCTCTTTCCAAGAAATAATCTAAATAACACACACAAAAAAAAAAAATAATAGAAATTTCTTTAGATGTTATCGATTAATTTATTATATTCAATATATTTACAGCAAGTATTGTTACTTTCATCCCAATATTTATTATGACCACATGAACATACATATTTATCTTGTCGTGGTTGACAACTTAATGGTGAAGGACATAAGCCATGTTCTTCTATAGGAGAACCATTTGACGTTATACGTGTACATACACCATATTCAAAATTATCATTTTCCCATTTTGGTATAATAGGTCCTAGAATAAAAGTATATGTTGAATAATTCATATATGAAAACTAATCTTACGGCATGGTGTTCTTGCATTTACAAATTCATAGCCAGGTGCACATACACATAAACCATTGTATACTACTTGTGTATTATTAGTTCCATTAGTCCAACAATTATTTAAAATATATTGATGTCGATTTATATCGTTTTCGTTTGGAAAAGTAAAATCCAAATGTTCGTTTCCTTAAAAGAAAAACAAAGCACGAAGTTTAATAAAATTTCGTTTTTTTTTTTTTTTCAAATCATATTTTACGTACTACAAACATTATCCACATTGATAAAACCGGCTTGACACCAACATGTTGTTTGATTACCAACATGAGCACATAAAGCATTTTCATCTCTACATGTACCACATTCTTCATATGGTAATGTTATAGTTGATGGTGATAATGCTCCACTGTATACTTTCCATTCTTGAAAACAACACATTTTTTTTTTGTTTGTAGAAATTTACATATATTTTTTTTTTTTTACTTACCACATTCTTGAGTTTGATAATTAGGATTATAATCTGATGGACATTGACAAAATTTTTCTGCACGTTGTGAATCATTTTTACATACAGCATTAATATCAAGACAAGCACCCTCAATTGAATCATAACAAAAATCATTTGATGCATTAGCCTCAGCCCAATTGGAATATAATCTAGCAAGTTGTTTTTCTATAGACATAAAACAAAAATTTCTTATTCATCAAATATTCAATCAATCAATAAAAAAAAAACTTACGACAACGACTATTATCTCCTCTTGGTATATAGCCAAGACGACATTTACATACTCCTTCACGACAATCTCTAGACCAACATTCATTCCCAGATGAACATAATGCATTTAAACTTTTGTCTACATAGAAAATAAATTAAATATTAAAAATATCAAATTATTCTAGAAATCTAGACTTTCCACATACAGATTGTAGTAGATACCTTAGCAACATTCCTTCACTATCCGTAATAGACATTATTAATATACGATCAAACATCGTATATGAGTAATGTTTTATTTAACAATCTCGATATGATTAACAATAGCAGTTAAATCATATTTTTTTTATATTTGAATTTTTTAGGGACTCTATTAACAGTTGTTTTTTTTTGTCCATATTAATCAAGAATAGAAGTCTTTTTCTTTCATTTATGTTCCAAAAAAAAAAAAAGCTTCTTCATATTATACTTATTGCATACTTACAGCATAATCCATTAATAGGTGTATAACCTGTTTGACATCGACATCGTCTATCAGTATGACATATACTGTTGTTGAAACAATTGTCTCTAGTTCGACATTCTTCGCCTTCGTAGACAAAGGCGAATTCTGTAGCTTTTAATATTCGATGAATAAAATAGAATTATACTATTGTAATTTTATTTTAAATAATTAAATACTTACAGCATCCTGCATTGCATGGTGTATACCAAGGTGTATCACATTGACATTTTTCATTTTCGCAAATCGTTGCATTACCTCCATCACATTCATTTGAATTTGTACACGTACCATCCAAAGGAACTTGAATTTTTTTAATCAATAATAAAATAAAATTTGAACAAATTAAACTTACTAGATTTAGTCAATGAAATACATAGAAGTAATATATTACCAAAAAATAATAGATAATAAAAAGATGACATGGCTTTCGATTAAAGAAAATAATAAGATTTTCTATCTAAAGAAGAATATAATCCATATTTATCTTAATCAAGTTAATCTGCATCGATCATATAAGAGAAATAGAAATGAAGTCAAATTTCTTTGCTTCTAGTTTTTATATTGCTTTAACTTTTTTTTTTTTTTTTTTCTTTACGAAATTAAGATTAGTCAACTACGTACAAGATAATATATTCTTTCTGCTGATTGAATATCATATTACTTTTGTTTAAATCAAAGTTTGTTGTTAGTTACAACAAATAGTTTCAAGCAAACGAGAAATTCGTCACTAAAAAAAAATACGAGCATAAATCTCTTATATATGTAAATGTTTATTTGTTATACACCCACATAGAAACATATCGAATATTACGTATGTGAACATAACTCATCGTCCCGAAACAAGGAGATTTTCATACGACACACGAAATCAAGCAACAAACTTACTCATCTTCATTCGCTGTTGTTTTTTATCGATAACATAGGATAAATAAAATAGAAGAAAAAAAAAATATATATATATATATTTTGACATCGGCAAAAACAAAAATCAAAAATTCTATTTTGCTTTTGTTTTATTATTAAAAAAAAACACGTCTTCATTTATATGATAAAACATAATAATGTTTTGAAATTTAATTTATTTTTAGTAATTACTTCATCTCTTTAATGATTTATTTTCCAAATATAGAGAAAGAAAAATTGCTTCAATATAAAAGAAATGATTTCCCTCTTCTTTTTTGTCTCGTTTACTATAATATTTCTAATGTAAATATTAGTTATGTATACGGTTTTGTAATTTCAGTTGAAGTTATGTGAATACCTCTCCTGTTGTTATAAACATTGATACGAAGGTCGAAACATATTGTCATGTTCGAAAAATGATTTTCATTTTTTCAATAAGCAAAAAAAAAAAAAAAAAAAGAAATGAAATAAAATATTATTTTATCAAACAAAAAAAAATAGGATTTAATCTAAGGTCAACAATTTGTTGTTGAAATAAAAATCAGATGAAATATGCATCATTGTATGCAAAATAATATTATCAATTGTTTGGTTATTTTTGTACGTATCATATACATGTAAATAGTAATAAAATTTGATTAGCAATATTTTATGTCATTGACATTTTGTTAAATTAGAAAAAATTTATCAATAATATAAATATTAAAAATGATTTATTTCGCATAAATAATATACAAAAACAAAACATGCCATTTCAATAAATATATATTCTTATTATGGCTTAAATTACATCAACTTTCAATAAATTTTGAATGAGTAAAAAAAAAAAATCAAATGTTTTTTAAAAATTAATGAACTTCGAGACGATGATATGATTTGATTTTATATTGCAAAATAGTATGAATGACTGGAGTGTTTATATGCAGTTTTTGATGATATCTGTGCTAATAAAAAATCAATGATATTATAAATAAATCTAGAATAATAATGTAGTTGTTAAGCATATGATAGAATGAAAAAAAAAATATCTGTTCGTGTATTTGATTATCAATGTTGAAATTGATATATTAAAAGGACCCGCATTCCCCTTTTCAGAGTTTCTTGGAGAATGGCTAGACAGAAAAATAATAAACTTTTAAGTAGATAGATGTCAATAAATAGTTATTATAGACTCGAAATTCTCAGATGCTTGTTTCAGAGAGAAATATGAGCACTTTGAGAAATTATTCTTAGGAGAATTTTGCATAGAAAAAGTAATTACAGAGTGAGTTTTCTTCTAGGGATTTCGATATTTGGGTTTGTTAGAAGTACTAACTAACAACGCAGAGCCCTCTTTTATATGGCATTTGGTCGGGGACACTTCTAAGCTATAGTAGTAATGAAAAACCAAAAGTCGAAAAAAAAATTTCATTTAAACATCAGAAAACAGGCGGATTCCCTTAAGGAGCTTCTTTTTCGGAGATTTCTCAAGAATAACTTGGTGAAATTTTTTGAAATTTTCAGAATATATAGATCTTGATAAATACAATAAAAATTGTTATAGACTCTAAGTTCCCAAAGTCTTTCTTTCGGGAGATCAAGGACCAAAAATAGCCTGACCGATCCGCCCTGCAAACATTCACAGTATGTTTTTTAGCGGTGAAATTTTTTCTGTGGCAGCTAGGAACAAATCTGAGTACGTAGTTTTTTTTTCTTTGAAAAATATTGCTTTTTATGTTCAACAGAAGTAAAACATTGAAGGCAGAAAACTTCAATTTTTAGTTTGAAAATCTGATTTTGAGAGAATTACAAAGAAAGTTGCACTTTTTTTTTTTGGATTTTTTAAGGTAAAATTTTTGAAAAATTCTTAAAATAACCTCTGAGATATAGTCTTAAGGAAAAGTTTGATATGATCCTATAACAAATCGTAAACCTGCACTTCAAAATTTTTGTCATCGGACACTTGTTTTTTTTTTTTTTTATTATTTTTGGTGCTCTATTTGTGGTCAAAATTTCAGATTGATTAATTGTACTATCTTTTAGAACATTTTCTTTTGTTTTGTATTATTATGAATTTTTTTTTTTTTTTTTAAGAAATAAATTAAAGATCACACAGACTAAAAAACAAACAACATGCACAAGTGCGCTCTCTTTCGAAAGTGTTTCTTGATTGGTTTTCATATATTTCTCCAATGGAATCCTGTTGATTTCAAAAAAGAATGTCAATCACATTAAGTGTTCTGCATATAAGATTCAGTTCGTAAGATGTCTTACAAGGTCTCTTTCTTTCCGGTGATCAAAGTGTGTTTTGAATAAACATTTATTTTATCATACCAGTTTTAATACATAATCAAACACATGAGTGTTCCAGTAAGACAAGAATTTCTTTTTCAATGTATCTTAACTACAAATAATGCTTATTCTTTACGCTTGATTGGTAACTAACCTATCGCTTTCTCTTTCTCTCTCTAAATATTGAAAGATATTCTTCTATGAACAATTAATAACAGCAAAAACATCAGAAAGAAGAAGAAGAAGAAAAAAAAGACTGAGTATATGTTGTGTGCGTGTCTATGTACATTAAATTCACAATATGCGATGTTCTTTCTTTCTGTTAATGTTCATGCCAACGGGAAAAAGAACAAAGTATATTTTATATATTGATCATTGGTCACCTTTCTTCTTTTTATTACTAAAGAATATATAATAATGTGTTTGGTTATGAATATAGAAGCGTCTTTCTATACGTAATCAATTCATTTGTTTGTAGGTTGCATCTGAACGTAAATCATTATTACCTTTACGATTACGAGCACCTTGTGTAGTTGGTCCTCGTCCTACAACACCGATGCCATCAGTTTCTGGAAATAATCCGTTAGTTAATGTTTTATTAATTTATATTTTATATATACATATAAATTATTCAACTTTTCTTCTTTTATAGTAAATCACCATTAACTGTTGGCAATCGTGTTTTAGTGAATGGACTTAAAAGTGGTACTCTTCGTTATATAGGTACAGTAAAATTTGCAAATGGATTATTTTGTGGTGTAGAACTTGATGAACCCGATGGAAAACATGATGGACAAATAAAAGATGTTCGGTATAGAAATAAAAACAATAAATAAAAAAGAATTTATTTATTTTTTTTGTTTGTCAAGATATTTTCAATGTCCACCGAATCATGGAATATTTGTACCTCGTGATAAAGTTGTTTTAACATCACAAATACGAACATCAGTAAGTTTTTTCTTTTTTTATTATAGAAAAAAAAAAGCATAATTTGATGAAATAAAAAAAAAAAAAAACAATTTTCGTTTTTTAGTCATCACAAAGACCGATAAGCCGTTTGAAAGCTCCAACAATGACACGTTCAATGACACTTTCAACATCAATTCATAAAATTGAACAATCAAAATCTGTTGAATTACCTGATCTTTTAGCAAACACAACTTCTCAACCGGTGATACTCAATAATTCAATTGTAAATGAACAACATGTAAATATTATAATCAAAAATAAAAAACATGTGTTTAATAGAATGTTTTTATTTTTACATAAATTAATAAAAAAAAAATTCTAGGAAACTATCACACCAATTGAACAATCAAAAGAACAAACGATAGATATGATTGAATCTAAACTTGAATTACAACCATTAACAATTGATGAACGTATGTTTTAATAATTATTTTTAGTTTTGTGAAATACAATCTAAAAAGAAAGTATGTTGTAGCATAGGAATAAAAATTTTGGCCCCGTACAGATCGCGATAGATTTTGTTAGTATGCAATCAAAAATTATGTATATCAATGAAGTCTTATTATTTATACATAAACTAATTTCTCATTGCATTTTTGAAGGATTACGTAAACCGATAGTGCAGACATGTGTCCCAAAATGGATAGGATATAAAACAATCTGTTATTGATTAGTAAAAGCAGTTATATCGTGTTTCACATATTAATTCCATAGAGAATAGTACTAATAGCTTTTTTTTTTGCTTTTTGATGTAGCTACAGAAACAATTGAAGCTGATTTTACTGATAGTGTATCATTAATTTTACATCAATTACAACAAGAACAACCTATTGAAACACGTTCTTCTTCAATAACAATTAGTGAAGAAAATACTGAAGAAGAAATTGATGATGATGATGAATTAGATAATGAAAGTATTATTGAATCTACAATTGATGAAGAACAAAATAAAATTTGTCATTCATCATCATCATTATCATCATCTATGTCTATTTTAATTCCATCAACAAAATTTGTTCAAACAGATTTATCATTTCATTTTAATGATAATATTTCATTTACAAAAATTGAATTATTAAATAAACAAAAATCAATATCAATTAATAAATTAGAAATTAATAAAAAAAATCAACAAATAAATATTAATAAGACCAAACCTATTATTAAAACAGTTAAAAAAAGTAAATACAAATTAAGGAACAAAAAAAAAACAACAATTTATAAATTTTTTTTTTAATAAGATATCGAACAACGACCTGTTTCATCATTAGTTAATACAACAAAACGATCGATTAATTCTATAATACCACGAAATACATCAATCATACCACCAAAACGAGGACCATCATCTAGAACTCAACTCAATGCAGCACAATCGGTGACTTCATTACCATTACAATCGAGTCAATTTCTTTTTTTTCTATTATAAAATCTTTTTATTTTTATTGTGTAATATAATATTTAGAACTTAGTCTATCACATTCATCATGTAATTCATTGAACAGTAGTCAGTCAGATTTAGGATCGATTAATAAAAGTTCAAATTCCAAACAAACATCTGATACAAGTCAAAATATATCTCAATTAATTGATCTTCCGTCAATTAATTTAGGTAAGTATATTTTTTTTTACATTAATTTTAAAAATGAAAAAAATCTTTTTTTTTCCTATCAAGAAAAACAACTCAATGAATCTCATGATCAATTGAATATACTCAATCAACAAATGACAATGTAAAATTTTACTATTAAAAAAAAAATTGTTTTTTAAATGTTTTTTGTTCGTCGAAATTTTATCTAGTCAAAAAAATGTTAATCAATCTCTTGAAATTAAGATTGAATATTTAAAAAAATATTATCAACATTTACTTAATCAATTTGATCTTATGCATATTTTAAGTCAATATTATATTAATGAAGTAGGAAAATATTTTTGAAAATTTATTTTTACTTATTTTATTTTTTATTATCAGAATGAACAAATTCAAGAACAACATGAACGTCAATTATTGAAAGGTATATATATTTAAGTTTTTTTTTCTTATGAGAAATTCTCATCAAATGATTAACAAATGTTTCAAGATGAAATTTTTCTACTTTATTAGATAAACTTTATTGAAATTAGAAGAGATCGAAAAACGTTTATAATTATGAATCTTTTTTTAAATAAATCAAAAGATATTTAATTATTGTATTGACATAGTAAATTTCGCGATTGTTAGTAATTTGAAATCTTTTAAACGAACAGTTATACAGTCGATGTATTTGCATATACAATTTAAAAAAAAAACAAAATTTTCATTTTCTTCAATGTGAATTTATCTTCATTTTCATACAGAAAATATTGGTTTTTTCTTTATTTTCATAATCATGTAAATGATAACCTTTAAAAGGTGACTTTTGAATTCTTATTGTAAAAGTATCAGATTTCCTAGAATAAACCTATGGTAAAAACAAAGTGGGGGTAATATTTTCGTATTCATTTTATTTTCTATCGTTTATCCCCCTACGATAGAACATAGATAAAAATTTCTTTCTATAGAACCTGTGGCTTTATAATTCGAATATGTTAATACCATTAGAAAGCACATATTTCATTGATTACACTCATACATAATGTGCATAAAAATTTCAAAAGCTAAATACAAAACAAATCAACCGAATGCACTTCTCATAATTGATTTTGTGTGTGTGTGTAAAGTTAAAAGACACTTTTCACTGTTGAATACATATTTTTACACATTTATACTGTCTTTACTTTGTTATATAACAAAATTTTTAGATTGAGTATTTAAAGTTAGGAAATACTTAAAAAATAAACTCATCTCTATTGAGAAATTACTTAGTAATAAGTTTAAAAGTATACTGAAGAAGACTATGATACTCTATTGAAAATTACTATAATTAAAGAAGGAAGACTTATGAATATGAATCCTTAATCTTTTTTTTCTTTTGTCTAGTTTCAATAAAGCTTATTCATAGAAAAGTAATTTTATCACTTAGTGAAATTCTTTTTCTTTGTTTCTTTGATTATATAATGATTATTTTTTTGTTATTATTAGTTCAAACAACAAAAGATGAATTAAAAGTAAATAAAAATATTTCTATAATAAGAAAAAGAACTATATATATAATTGATTCTATCTTTAATATTAGACATCAATTGAACAATTACAATCAACTCATAAAAATGAATTATCTCAATTAGATAAACGTTATCATAGTCGAATTGAAACATTAAATAAAACACATGAACAAAATTTAAATGAACATCAACAAAAATTTGATCATTTATTAGTATATATTTAAATATTCATTAATAATGTCTTGTTTTACTAAGCTTTCTTCTTCTTTTTTCTTTTTTTTTAAGCATGAAAAAAAAGAATTAGAATCTCGTTGTTCAATATTACAAGAAAAAGTTGATAATTTTCTAACTGAAATGGCAAATAGTCAACATGCTGATGTTTTATTATGTCATGTTGAAACATTAGAAAAAGATCGAACAAGTTTACAAACTGTACTTGAACTTAAAAATAAAGAAATTACACAACTGAGAACAAAACTTAATGAACAAGAAATTCGAGTATATAAAATAAAATTTTGATGTATATTATTGTTTTTTATTAATCATTTTAGCTTCATGATGAAACTGCATTACGAAAACGTGTTGATATAGCTGAAAATGAAAATCAAAGTCTTCAATATCTTCTTCAACAAAAAAAATTAAGTGAAAAGTAAATAAATCTTCACTTTGTATGTGTGTGTGTGTATGTTTTTCTTTTCTTTTTTTTTTACTAAATTTTGATTGATTTAATCATTGAAAATCTTCTTATAATTCATATAGAAAATCAAATATTATTTTAACACTTATGAATTCTTTTTTCTTTAAAGTTGATCTTCAATCTACATACAATAGATTATTATATTTATGCGTATTTACTAAGTACATATTGCTTCTATATTTTTACATATACATTATTATCATTATAAGCTTTTGATTATCAATTATATACATATATATATATATATATCACTGAAATTGACAAATTTGAAAATCGATCTTGATCTACTACTTATAGATAAATTTCTTTTCACTATCTATAAGATAAAATATCTAATTTGCAAGCTATTATTGCTTTTATTGGAAGAAAAAATTTTTCGTCTTTGTTTATTTGTTTTAAATAAATTTATTCTATTTTTAGAACTGCTATAGCTGAACGAGATAAATTAAAAGAACAAGTAATTCAACTTGAACGAGATAATGATCAATTAAAATTTGAAAATGAAACATTACGTTATCGTCTTCGTGAACGATCATTATCCGTTTCTATACCATTAGATAATCAAATTCTTATAGTCTCAACTGAATCATCAACTATTATGCCTACGACTCAGAAACGACAAGGTCGAAAACGTGCATGTAGCTTATCAACTATAACTATAATTGCACATGAGAATGAACGCATTACTCGTTCGTTATCATCATTGAACTGTATACTTAATCGGTGATTATTTTTTTTTTTGGTTTTTGGTGTTTGAGAATGTTTGCATGTGTGCGTAGCTTGTTTTGTTTTTTATTAATTATTTTATTAATATTAATTTGACAATATTAGAAATGTTCTGACACAAATAGATGTTTTTTTTGCGTGATATATATATATATATTTATATATGTACGTGTTACTCTCTGCTTTTGTATTTTTAACATATTTATTTATTGTAGCATGTGTTTATGGACAAGAAACATTTAATTATTTTGATAATGATATACAGGGTGTGGCAAATGTTTAATAAAAAAAATTTTTCTTTTGAAAAATATTTTAAGCCCAAAAAATAATACATAATTATGAGTTGTTTTTTTTTTTGGTAGATAATATGAGCTAAAACGATAGGTATTACTTAGATTGATTCTCTATAAACGAATTTTCGTATATTTTGTTAAGTGATTTAGTGCATGGCATCTTTTTCATACATAGTTCATTGATTTGTAAAGAAATATTTAGTCTTTAAAATAGAATCTATTAACAGACAACATGTTGTATGGAGAACAGTAACATGTAAGAATATTTTACAAAATAGTAAATATCATTATAAACTCATAGTCTGTGTAAAAAAGTTTATTAGATAAAATAATGTGTAGTAGCAAATGACTATTATAAGCTAATAAAGGAATACAAATGATTGTCTTATTTTGATTTAAGAAAACAAAAAAAAAAAAGAATGTCTTTTGAAAACTTGAACAATTGCTGTCGAATATAAGAGCACATCAAAAGCTTCTCAACACATATAACATTCGCATTAGAGCAGAGTACAGCCACCTTGCATGTCTACACGATGAATATTGAAAGAATCTTTAACGTCAAGAGCAATGATATATTCGAGAAATGTTTCTCGCATTTTATGAACATTTCGAATTTGTTGACGAACTGATTGTTTATTTGGATGAGTTTTCAATTCTGGACGTAATGCACCCATGTAGAAAATTTTTTGAGCAAAAAACTCTTTCAATTTATGATTAACAACCTCTTGTGAATCAAAAAATTCATTGACTTTTGCTTCTCGTTGTTCTGTAGTCGATTCTTCACAATGTGTTACTAGTAAACAAATAAACTGATGAAGTTTTGGATAATTATCTCTAACGAATACCATTGAATTGATATCATCAACATCCACATTACTTTGTAAACTTATTACAAAAGCAAATAGATGCATATTAGTTACATCTTTTTTTATGCACTCATCAATAGCAGCTTTAATTCGATCATTTGTCATTGGAGTACCACTTTTTGTTACTTTATCGTATAAACCAGGTGTATCAACCACATTGAAACAATAAACAATATTCTCACGAATCATTGTTGCAGCGACAGGATGAACGGATACTTCTCTTGTCTCAGAATGTAATTTTGCATCAGGAGGAACATAGCATGGATCAGCCAGTACATTAGCTACTGTTGTTTTACCAGTACGAGTTTTACCCATTAACAAAAGATTATGTGTTATGGTTTGACGAAACGGATATTTATTTTTACTAGCACTCCAACGTTTTACTTCTGCAATCATGTCATTAAATTGAATTTCATCATCATCTTCATTCATCCATCCTCCTCCTGAAATAAGTAAGATTTCTTTAAAAGAAAAACTTATCAATGTGATTTCTAATAAAACATCAAAATGAATCCATGTGGCCAAAGGAAATATTGTGTTTTTTGTATAAATTATTATTCGATCATTTAAGACGAAAAACAAATAAAAGTTATTTTTGAGAGTGATTGTTGTCTACATATGCGAGTGGGAGGGTGCCCGAAACGGAATGAATGTTTCTGAGTTCGAATGAAAACTTAAACTCATCATATAGAGTGAATTTCACTGACCTATATAATTAATTTTATTTATTATTTCTGTCATAGAAAAATTTTCAGAGAAATCCCTGTAATATGAAAACACTGTAATCATCAGTGAGAACTAGCATCCCATCTATCGAAATTTGTAGTCTTGTAGATCTTAATAAGACTGTGGCAAATCAATACATCATTCGAATTTCAAGAAAGACTTCTCTAAAATAGTTCAAGTCCTGTTGTTCATGTCTTAATCTTTTTTCTATAACAATTAACTTAGAAGAGAAAACACAAAAAAAAAAATAGAACCGATAAATTGTCTCGGACACTTGTGAAAAAAATGTTGAGATCACTCGGTCAACTACTTCTCGTAGAAAGAGAGGACTTCATTACAATCATATTTGCCTCTTCCATCATTTATCTTTCAGGAGAACATGTCATGTGTTTTTGAGTCTATTCTTATAAAATTAGTTATAAGTGTTGTGTAATAAATACCTGATCCTGAGTTTGTTTCTGGTTCACTGATATTAGATGATCTTGCCATCGCTCGTTGAATTGTTACTAACTGATCGTGTGAAAAATTGCTTAGTATGAAAAAATGAGGAATGGAAAAATCTTTTGCTGATTTGCTTTGGATACTGTATGACAGTTAAACTGAAGATTCAATCTATCTGAAACAAAAAAAAAAAACAAAAGCCAATATCCATTCACAACTTTCAAACATGTTTATTATATATGTAAATATTAGTAGTGATTGCTCATACATCCATTCTTACACGTTAAGCGATATAGACTGTTCATTTTTGTACTGCTGAAAATAATGAAGATGCACAATTAGAACCATCATAATGACAAAACAGGTAAAGAGAGAGCAAAACCAACGTCCACAACGACAAACATTACAGCATCGCCGAATAGGAGAACAACAGCGATTCTCCAAGGAATATTCAAAAGGTATTACGATAACACTGTCATTATCTTGACATCGTCGAATGAACTCAGCTCGCATTTGTAATACTTGATTATGTTCGAAATTCAATGCTTTTCGATTACCACTTTCAAGTGATTCACGTCGTATACAACCCATACAAAGAACACCACGTTCAAAGAATTGACGTACATGATTATTCATGAAACGAGAATGATTGAAAAATTCTTCAATTAATTCTAATCTTTGATTTTCAGTCTTTTCTTCACAATGTGTCAATATCAAAAACATCTTTCGACTAAATCGAGTAAATTTCTTTTTGAAATTAAGTATGGCTGTTATATCTTCTGAATTAATTCCTTGTCGAATGTTAAATACAAATCCAAATAAAGGAAGATTACCACTAGTAAATGGAATCTGAAATCCACTAATATTCAGACCATGTTGAGTCATGTGGCAATTACTTAACGTATTTTGATTGTCAAATATGTCGGGCGTATCAATGATGTTTAAACCACCTACTCGTCGTGCAAAAGGTTCTAGTGTAGAATTGCGTATTTGTGATTGAAGTGGACAAAAGAGACTATCATTGATGACATTTTGAATGGTGGTTTTTCCCATTTTAGAACGACCTAGAAGGATGATCATCTGTTCCGGATAATCTCTGGGCTTGAGGTAGTTTTCATTTCGATCCCGTAGACAACGTAGATCTTCCAAGATGATATTGGGATCTTCAGTCAAAGTGTCATATGAATCCATCTGTAAAGAATGAAACAAACCTAAAAAGAATAATAGTCTTTTAAAAAAACCTACGCTAGTTATGAAGCAATCATATCAGTCAAATTAATTTAATGACTACTCTATAGCTGTTGTGATAGAACAGTCTAGTCACTGACGGAGAAATTTGTGCTGATAATTTATCTGTTTTCTCAGAAATTTAAACATCTCAACTCTGTTCATTCCTTAAAAAACCCTTGAGGGATCTATCAGGATTCTCAATCTAAAAGATTTTTGTCAAGCTTGGTATACCTGCTGTGGACGGATCAGTTTCGGAACGATTCGTCATTACCCAATGATATTGTATTGATTGATTGTATTAGATAGTGAATTTCCACATTAACAAGTTATGCAATATTTCGTTTGATCGTGACTCGTCTTGAACAGAGCGAAGTCACGAAATCAAATGACACATCTATCTAAAATATACTTAGAATGATTTTTGAAGCAAATTTTTCATGTACAAAATAAAATTCCTATTGAACGTCACACATTTTTTGAAGCTTTCTTTTTCTAATAGAAAAATGCAGGACACTGATTCTGTTCCGTATAATTTTTCCATGCGTTGGGTAGTCTAGTTTTTTGATCACAACGTATAGGAAAATGAACATAAATAAATAAGATCATAGGAATAGAACACCAGATTAATATGTACAAAAACCAGAACCAATAGTTATCAGTAGAACAGTAACGTCGAAGAAATGATGGCCCTCGAGATGTTGATGAATAGGTAAAAGGTATAACAATTGCACTATCATTATCTTGACATCGTCGAATGAACTCAGCTCGCATTTGTAATACTTGATTATGTTCGAAATTCAATGCTTTTCGATTACCACTTTCAAGTGATTCACGTCGTATACAACCCATACAAAGAACACCACGTTCAAAGAATTGACGTACATGATTATCCATGAAACGAGAATGATTGAAAAATTCTTCAATTAATTCTAATCTTTGATTTTCAGTCTTTTCTTCACAATGTGTCAATATCAAAAACATCTTTCGACTGAATCGAGTAAATTTCTTTTTGAAATTGAGTATGGCTGTTATATCTTCTGAATTAATTCCTTGTCGAATGTTAAATACAAATCCAAATAAAGGAAGATTACCACTAGTAAATGGAATCTGAAATCCATCAATAGCCAGACCATGTTGAGTTACGTGACAGGTACTTAAAGTATTGTGATTGTCGAATATGTCAGGCGTATCAATGATGTTTAAACCACCTACTCGTCGTGCAATGGGTGCTAATGTAGAATTACGTATTTGTGATTGAGGTGGACAATAAAGACTATCATAAATAACATTTTGAATAGTAGTTTTTCCCATTTTGGAACGACCAAGAAGAATAATTTCTTGTTTTCGGCGTTTATTTGGCATACTATAATTACCATCGAGCTCACTCTTACGACGCATATCATTGAGAATAACGACAGAATTTTCCATCGATACCTCACATACATTCATCTGTGCACTATCAAACAAATCTAAAAGAAAATCATTGAATCTGTTATTGCATGATCACATACGTGCGTACCTTTCGAAAATCTAGAGATAGGAATGCAAATAATCGAGTAACAGAGGTCGAATTAAATTTTTTCTATGTTTTATTCTATCGTCAAAATAGTGAAAAAAAACATTTAAAACAAAAAGAAAGAGATAACTCCTGTGTTAGGATTCTCATCCATTCTAAATTCAAAGTAATATCTCTTCCGTTTTCATTGTGACATATTTTTTTTTACTGTTTGGAAAATAAAATGAAGCGCTTAAAAAAATTTCACTCAAAAACTGTTACTGGATTATTTACATTCATATAGCAGTCAATTCATTTCTCAGAAGGGAATCACATTACACTACTCTTTTTAGTCCTGACTTTCTATAAACCAATGTAATCTGCTTGCTAGGCCTGTCACAGAATATTCTTCTATAGAAGAATTAATGACCCACATATTGGGCACAAAAAATGACGAGGCTAATAATAGAGATTCTTTTCTTACTATCCTATAGCCTTGTTTAATGCCTGTTTATATGTCATTTCAATGACAAAAGTCATTCAGAAATCAAAATAATTATTTCTATGAAAATGGAAACAAATAAAGAAACGGCTGAACAAGTTCTTAATGTTTTTAACTATATAGTGAACTATTCGAGTCCATCATCGAACAAAAAATCAATCTGATAGGAGAATGCACACAATAAAAGAAAATGATTTAGCATGTATGATAGAATAGTTACGTAGGACATTTTTTTATAAAGATCAATTTCATTGCCCAACATCATCACTAACAAAAATGGATAGATAGACAAGAAAAACAGTATTCTATCTGATCTTGGTTATTAGGGTGGAGGTAGGAGTGAGTGCAATAGGTAAAAAGTTAGTTTTTTATTTTTTTTGATCGATTTTAAATAAAAAAAACTTAATAATAAAAATAATTTTCTCATAATTTAAGCTTAAAGGCCAAATTTGGTTGAAACAATGAATTATTTGTCGATTCTAATTGATATATAAAAATGCATTAAAACGTGTCGTACCATCATTTTTTGCTTAGTAAATGCGTCTTTTTTTCGCTATGTTTCTATCTAAATACATTGAAACATCATTTAAGCATTTATTCACCTCCATAGATAGATGTTATATACCTAACAGAATTAATTATTTATTAAAACTATCATTTGTTGGAACAAAAAAAAGCACCTGTAACTGCTTTTTCTATTCAAATTTAGATTCGAACGCACCATTTTGTAGAGAATAGTTATATTAAATCCAAATAGCTTATTGTGTTCATCTTTTAATTCTCTATCGTTTGATATATAACATGAAAAATTTCAATGATCTGTTGAAATACAAACTGGCATCATTTTTATAGACCATTTTTTATTCATTGAAGTCATGAAGATGCTAAAAGTTGGTCTTGTCTAACTTTTCAAAGAAAGAACACTAAAGTTTAAAACTTTAGAGTTGATGTTTTCGGACATAGATGCACTGAGTGAGCAAAAAAACACTCAATTTTTTCTGATCAATTGCTATTTAATCATTTACGTGGCTGATTTGCTTGTGTGATGATTCTTATTCATATTTTTATTTTCACAGTATGCACAAAATATTTATTTTAATTAATGACTTTTCTTCTTACTAATATTGAATACCTCTTAACATTTTTTTAGTTGCTTTACAGTTTCATCTCTTTCTAATAAACTTTACAATTGAATGTCTGTTATCGATTTAATATGTTTTGTACATTCATAAACAGGAATACACTTATTTTAGAAGAAAGGCACTAATCACTTCAAAATCAATCATTGTTACTAAAAAAATAAAAAAACAGCAAATATGCTGTGAATCCACTTGTATCCAATTTTTACCGTTCTTTATAAAAAATAGACGAATCACAATAAATACATAGTTATTGAATATATTGTGAGTCTCTCAATTTATCAAATCGAAAACTGTGCATGTCTACATTAGAAGAGTAGTTAAACGTCAACTAAGTTTAGATCTTCATCTTTTAAGGGAATTAGAAAATTTCAGTTAAAAAAACCACCTACGGTACATTGACGTCGTCATTCGAGATCGATAATAATTATGACATGTGGTTTTATTAGCAAAAACAGACCCTAAATGTTTATAACGAAGACAGGTGAGAGAAGAGAAAACGATATCAGTAGGAAGAAGTCAATAACAATCCAATCTACGAAAACATATGCGTGAGTCATCAATTGAATAATTGCATGCACTACGATGGGCGACATCTAGTTTTAAGTGAAATAGTTAGAAGAAAAATGATAACTGCAATGTTTTAAATCAGAATCAGAAGGCATATTTACCTATATATTTTATTTTAGCGAAAACTAAGTGTCACAGAGATGATGACACTACACTGTCGTTACAATATGACAATGATTCAATCAATATTGCTTGATAAACAAATACAAATGATACATATCGTGGAATCTATACTCTAGCTTTAGTATAACTTTTTGGTTTTAGTTCGTCAGAACAATTTAACTTGATAAACGATTCCTACTAGTGATATACTTCAAATATCAACTTGTAACAATGAGTTTCATCTGAAGTGCATTAGTGGATCTTAAATTCGATATTCATTGATACATCAGTCCATATCACGTACTGACGCCTATCTGTCTGAAATTAAAAATTAATGTATCAATAAAAAGCCCGAATGCATAAATACAACGCACGTTTGCAATATCAAATATAGTGCTTTCTGTATGTTAATCATCAACTAAATTACAATCCAAATATCAAAAGACCTATTCTCGAGCATTATGCTTGAATAAAATACTATTCACATATATAGTCACCTTTTACTTTATACAAAGTTAGTAATCATATGCGTCCTCTTTTCATAACATTTCATATGTATGATTTTATTTTGCTTAATATTATTTTTCAATGCCAGCAATTCTTTTAACCTCTTATAATATTTTCTCCTTGTTTCAGAAAATAGAAGTGATTATTTTGGAAAGAACATCATCATGTTTATCTTACATTAACATAAATATTGATACTTATAGTAATCTCTGAAAAGATAACTCCCAGAAGTTATTGACTTTTTTTTACACTTTATTCTACCTATTCAAAATGTTTGAATGCATGGAATTAATCATGATTGATATTATCAAAGAATTTTCTGTTTCATAGAAAAGAAATTAATTTCAAAATTCATCTGACTATTTTGAATGAGAGATTGAAACAAATAAGAGAACCTTCATTCGGATCTAGGTTGAACTGTTATAGAAAAGTTACTTATTTTTGTACTTCTCGGTTCAAGTCAGCTTTGCTATATTTGATCTATTTATACATATTCAAAGGTCATTTATTTATTTTAAACGAAATCGACAATAAAAAGTAGAGATTACTACAAATTTGCATTGCTTCTTCCATATGTATATTGTTAAAATTTTCATGTCAAAAGATTGTTATTAGGTTTTCAGTACATAGCTATTGAAACTGTTGATCCTATGCAAGGATATTTAAATTCTACTAATTTACTTTTTTATTTATTTTGTATCTATAATTTATTTACTCATGTCACACAAAAGGGATCAGTTTTAGCCGTAAAACCACGGTTAACCGCCAGTTTTCATCACATGGGTAAGTCAATTATCAGTTTAACGCCACACGATTAACCCGTGTATAAAAGACCAAGCAAAAAGCCAGATTTTTTTAAAATTTTTTTTGTGATTTAAAATCAAGTAAAATCTGATTTTTTCCTTCTTTTTTTTACATGGGTTCATCTATTTTCAGCTATCATCGTTCTTGATGGTTTATAACCTATCAGCACTTGATAATCGATCATAATCGATTCCTTACTGGAAATCTATTTTAATCATAAATATCGAAGATATGCGTTTTTCTCGAGATGCGAATGCGAAACCCTATTTTTTCCATAATTTTTTTGATTCCTCGTGATAATAAACCATAAAGTTGCCACCAAGCTAAAACTCGACAAATACACTAAAGTTGGGACTGGTATATAAATTGTTTCAGTTGAGATTGCGCAATTATCTCATTTATCGATTAAAATACATTGGATTCACAATTAACTGATTGTTTTCATTCCTTGAAAGAAAAATTGATCTCCACCCATTGAGTACCATTGCTCAACCAAAGGACGAAATTTCTTTGATATTTTATACTTAATATGGGCGGTGCGTATTGTTGCTAATATTTTCATGAAAACTTTTAAAAAATCTTTGAAGTCGTTTTCAAGCCATACATGTACTCCCTTAAGGGAATGGTGAAGAGATATTTTGGTTATTTCCAAAGGAGGGTATGGATGTGGACCATAATTCGATAGTGTACTATTGCAAAATCAACCTTTGAAATACTATTAGAAGTCTCTCCTAACTTGATTCCAACGTTGAAAATCCAAATATTGTGAAGACGAAAAAGGGCACCATCTCTATTCCTTCTGGATGTAGTGTACCAAAAACGCATTAGCTTATCATCTGAGTGACCACATTTGGATTATTATTCTTATATAGATGTATGCACAAAAGTCTTGCCCCTTGTCGTAGAACAAACTGTATCAAGACATCTTATTGCATTCGTGACCCATTCAAAAATTAACAAAAGTAGAATCGTGTCCTTTATAAAGTACTGCTGCTTAAAGGGTTAATCGATTATTTTGATTCCTGTCAATAAAATCGATTTTCGCTGATTTTTAAAAAGTAATCGATTAAAATGAATTTTGTTATTAATCGCTTATATGGATGGCGTGAAAAAAAAAGATTTTAGTAGATTTTTCGTACATAATCGATTAAAACCGATTTTGTAATGTATAACCGATGTTAATCAATGGTTTTCGTTTATGAAGCAGAAATCAATTTTAATAGTTCACAAGAGAAATCGATTAAAATCGATTAGACTTTTAATCAATTATTTTGATTTCCACGGAAGAAATCGATTTTAATAGATTTCGACGAAAAAAGCCGATTTAAAT